GTTTAGCGAGCTGCATGAGAAACTGACGGGCTGTCAGGAGAGAGAGGGAGGGAGAGGGGAAAAGAGAGCATCCGTTTCTCCCGTGTTATTATTCAAAGTTAATGTAAACTTTTGAATAATGTACTTCATCTACTACAAGTAGTTTGTTTGAATGTAATAATTATGTTGTTTGTTGTTTGGGGAATCATTTATTGAAAAATGAATCTGAATTTGTTGATCTGTAACGATTATAAACTGAAGCAATATAAAAATGAGCCCCATTAACTGAGTTTTAAACATCATATCCGGTCCTAGTCCGGTGATTACCTGCTAACGGAAACTCTGCTACACAATTATTATTATTATTATTATTGAAACATGACCGGTAAGTTTCAAATTTGTCCTGTAAAGTAAATTCTGTCCCGACATATCCGCTTACATTCATAATGTCAGCGAGGGAGGGGAAGCGGCGCTGTGGAAGAGCAGAGTGGCGAGGGAGAGCTGTCATCTTCCCTTTACAAGCTTCAAACATGTATTTATCGTGTGATTTTGGAAATAAAAATGTCATATTCTGAAAGCCAAGACTTTGTTTATTTAAAATCAAACAAAACACCCGATCCCCGAAAAACTATTTTTTTACGCAAATCCACGTTTATTTTGAAATGAGCCGTTGCGACTTTCGACTGATTTCGATAGAGCAGGTCACATATGGCAAATGTGTGGTTGGGGGGAACCAGGTCAATTAAAGTACTTATTTAACTATTAAATACATTGAGTTTGAGTAAAATACTTGGTTACTGATTAATTTAGGTTATAATATATGAAATTGCAAAGCAAAACTGCTGTAATTGATTTATTTTGTCCTTTGGTATTTTTTAAAGGTTTTCAACCTGAAAGAATCCTAATGTGTCCTTGAAAAGTTGAAATAAAGAAAAGGAAAAAGGATTCCAGTTGTCCCTCAAGCCTCTCAAATGTGGGCAAACACTCAAATAAATGCCAAAAACCCAGAGAACTTGACAATACTTATCAGAATAAAAGTATGTTAAATAACACTGCTAGTTAATAACTCTACTTTACTCAGTGGAGGCTCATCCATTGAGGAAAGGGAGGACCATCCTCCCTACAATTTCAGAGAAAAATAAACTTTGAAGAGAACAATAAATACACCTCAATTTAAAAGATAAGTCTGTTAAAATACAGATAATAGCCCTGGCGTTGGGACTGAAATGGGGCTAGAGAGGACGAGCCTGGGCGGGTCTAGTCAGAGGCTCTGGATTGGGCGCCTATATCATCAGTGAACCAATCAGCGGATCTGACTGCGCATCAGAGTGTTGATGGGGAGGCTTATCAGCGATATCAGAGTTTTTTCTGAACCGGGGAACAGGGGCGCTGCGCCCTCTTACCAAAATCAATTCCTTGAATTAGGCTTTGATTATGTTCTGGCCCGCCATCTTGCGGCTCAGCAAAAAATTGGCCCACAGCCAAACTTACTTGCCTACCCCTGATGTATAGTATTTACATTCATAATGATCCTTTTTTGTTGCAGAGCTTTAGAGGCTTTAAGAGGCGACCTACAAACTAGATATAGCAATCTTGGAGCTATTGCGGCTAGCTACTTTCATTGGAAAGAGTCTCTAATTTTTTGTATGTATATATTTAATATATCCATCCCAAGCTTACCTACCCAACTGAATGAATTCACACATTCAAGTAAATAGAAAGACAGCACAGCATTTCAAGTGTTTATTGAGAATTTGAACTTCAACGTTAATGGAAAAAGCTCCAAACTTTTCTCTACAGCCCTTAGTATCAAGAAATCCTTCTAGTTCCTTTACATGTGGATAGGAAAACAGCACAGATTGTTTCAGAATATATGAGGAAGCCATCAGGGAAGCAGCATGACCCAAGGCAGGACTGCAGAGACAGGTTCAGCCACGACCCGAAGTCCACGACCCCGAAGTCCACGACGGGCAGCGTCCGGGAAACACCAAACTTGAAGGTAAGATATCAAAGGATGATCTTCATTAATTGCAGTGACAATTTAGTCTATTCTGACATTTGTTTTGTGTGAGTTAATCTTTACCTATGATATCTGGTTGCAGAAGGGACTGCAATAGCCTGGATGTTGGTCATCAGAGGTAGATGCCCTGCAATTCTCCTCTTTACCTTTCCCAACATATCCTATGAATAGAAAAAGAAAATTTGTAATTGAATCACACTAGGACCACAACACACTAAATATGTAATGACACATAAACATTATTATCCAGAATAAGAAGTCTACCTGGTTTGCAGTTTTTGTAAGGCTCCAAGCATCCACGGCAGGTGTCAATGGTGTACATGACGTTGAAATCCTGCTTGTATGAAGCAGAGAACAAACTCCATGTAGCAACACACCTGTGGTAAAACAAGCATTTCAATAGAGCCATTAAAAATATGCATAGACACCACCAGCTGTCGTTTATACTGCTGCACTTCACTGAATCACTTACTCTCAAGGCCAAGCGAAAGTGGGCCCCTCTTCTGAAAGACACAGTGGACATTGTGTCCTGAAGGTGGTACACACTAGCAGTGAGTGATGAGTACGCTTTGTCACCTTCCTGGAGAACCACTTCCATCAGAAGGTCCGAGAGAAGACAGTTTGGCAGCTGTGAAGTATTGGTCAGACTAGATCAAACATATTTAACAACACATTGACTAGGATGTTGCACAGCACAATCGAAATTACCAAGATTTCTTTGGGCTTCAGGTAGCAAAAATACACCTTTTTAATATTAATGTTGAATATATCACACACATTTTTCTTATGTTTTGTTATTCTTCTCCTTGAGGTAAAAACAGCTATCAATAAGTTAAAAAAAGCAGTGAGGACATAATAGTTGTAAATTCTGCCGTGATCATAGGTCGTTTTTTAAACAAAAAAACAGTTTACTGCCTTCACTGAAAAGATATTACCTCCAATATGAAGCACATGTCGGACTTTTGAAACTGGACCTTTGAAGGAAATATAAGGTGTGGGTCATGTGATTGTTTAATTACATGTGTATACAATTATCAATATTTATATGTATGCATGTGTTAAATAATCTGGATTGTTACATTTCTTTATCACAAACAGGAGTGTGCCTATTGACCTCATGTTCTGTCTTTTGCTTCTTTGAGACCCTGTACACTGGCTCCAGTGCCCCTTTGAGCAGCTCTTCGGCCTCATTGGTCCAGTAAGAAAACCTCTGTCCCGTGGCTATAAAAATCACATAATATCAGGATGAAAATGTAAATCAGTGTCAAAGGAAACTGTTGTCTATAAAGTAACATTTAAAATGTGATTACCCTTCAATCTGGTACCGTTCCATGAGCATAATGCACCACCATTTCCGGATCTGTGCTATGTCCCGCTAAAAGAAAATGTAACAATAATAAAGTTGAAAATGAATGGAACCTCATCATTTGTCTACTCAATGTTAGCCCCCTCTTCCCCCTGAAATACTAACTCAGAGGATAAATACTGACCTCGGTAAACCAAAGTGGAGCATCTGTGCTGAAGTTTCAGTGCATACTGTGAAAGGATAAAGATCTGTTAAGTTATGAGTTTCAAAACTAACAAAACCCCTTAAAAAAAAGTGTCAAGGGAGGAATTTACCATCAGTATGAAGACACCACAGTCATTGCCCGTGGTTTGGTGAGGCAAACCCTGTAAGAATTTGGAATATAACAGTGATGTTCATGGTCAAATGGAAAATAAAGACATGTGAAAAGCAGGTGTATGAGATGGTGGAGAAATGTACCTTGACGTCTCTGCCGAACTTTACTGTCCACTGACCTGGAGCAATGCGGTGCGCTAGGTCACTGTCAAAAGAAATGATAAGACATGGGAATTGATTTGGTGAAGGAACGCTATACTCAATATAATTCATGTTTTTGGATTTCCTTACATTGAACTATTGCATGCCTTAAAAGAGGAAGAAAGTTATGAAAGCCACTGAACGGGGGCTAAAATAAAACAAACAAAAATACGTTTACCAGCCTCTGAACAAGCTGAACTTGAAAAACAACCTTTGACAAGGCTTATAACAAAATGAACATTATAATTCATAGCATCCTGTTGCAGACTCTTTTCTTTTGGTTCCACTAAGGGACACTCCAGACTTTGTGGAATGGAGATATATTTAAATGAATTTGATCAGATTCAGACCCTGGTCTACAAGATGGTTACTCGCAGTATTAGAATACTATAAACTATTTAGAACTCCCATACAAGCCACAGAACGGTGGGGGTAATCATGTTACAAAACCTAAATATGTCCTTGTAGGAATTGTCCCCAAAGCCATCTGGCTTAAGAGGGTCGAGCAAATATAACTCTCTCTTTGCTGGCTTGATCACCTGTCAACCATTGACAAAATAGCTGAAATTAGACATAATCAAACACCAGAAGAAAAACCACACAGCACAACTTATGTTCATTTTGTACATGCCGGTGAGATCATTTGGAACAGACTCACGCAAAGCAAATAGTGATCTGCCTTTCCTTGCTGCCGACTCCAGGCAGGGATGAAAACCATGTCCTTGGTGGCCAATTGGTCAGCCTAGTATTTTAAACAAGGGATTTTAAGTTGCTGTATATCAATTTCAAGAAACATAGGTCTCAAGCAACAGGAACTTACTGGAAAACTGGCCAACGCGTCAGCTGTTTTGGACTTCCAGGTAGGAACCACATACATATCCACGATGTATATATCTTTGCCCTATATTGATAGTTTTTCAAAAAAAAATGAAATCTTCATAGAAGTATGTTCAACAACAAGAGACAAACCACACTTCACGAGATTGGAGTTTCACCACTAAACAGCTATTTAGAAAATATGTGTTATTCAAAAGAAAAAAGCAGGCCAATGATGTCTGTTGAAAACCGTACATGTCTTTGGGTGGCTTCTTGTACCATCTTCAGGCACGTGTTTCCAATCTGAAACAGTAACAACAGTAAGTTACCTGTGCCATTTATTTGAGACAAGATGAAGTTGGGAGGAAAGCTCAAGTATACCTACATTTGACTCCATGCACTGAGGAAGACCCAGGCTCCAAAAGTCCTCTCTGGTCAGGCACACATCACCCTCCTTCACAATGACCTCTGCTCCAGGCCTATTGTGGTCTAGCACATAGCTGAGCTGCAAATAACAGATTGCAAAACATACTTCAAGCCAATAGAAAACATAGAAAAATTAAAATCAAATCACTGTGCATGAAGTAAACATATATCTACCAGCTTGTCTTGAATCGGATGTAGATCCTTTGCGTATTTCGCACCAGAGAGGGCATACTGGTGGTCAGCAACAGACCCCTCCGAATCCAACTTCGGTTCAGCTGTATTAGATAGACAAAAAATAAACAGTATTATTGAAGTACCACACATGAAGTATACCTAAAATGTGTCCTTGTATTGATAATCCAAAATACCTCTCAACATAGGCCTGATAAAGGGCTTCAGCTGAGACACATTCACACTCTGTCTCAGCTGAGCTCCTGTTGAGCTCAACAGGGTTGCCACACCCTTGTTGGTGATTGAGGAAACCACATAAGGGCCAAACCAGTTGCACTCCAGTTTTCCACCTTTTCGGCCCTCCTTCCTCTTATTCGCTCTTAGGACCTCATCTCCAACGTTAATCAGGAAAGATTTCACATTCTTTCCCTTGCGTTTTTCAAAAGAGATTTTCTGTCTCTGTTGTGCTATTTGGATGTTCTGGTAAATCTGAGAAAGATATGTAACAGTTATCATTTACAGTCCTTAACATACGCTTGCATTTTTTAGGAGTTATTATGTTTTAAATATTGCCATTTTATTCTCACCTTCGAGTGCAAATCTGCAATGGTTGCAGCCTTTGCCTCAAGCTGCTGTTCTGCCTCATCAGCAGGCACCAAAACAGAGGTATCATCCCTGTCATTGACTGTAGCATTTATAACACCCGGGACGCGAGGGTGCCTCCCAAACTGGGCAAAATAGGGCGTGCACTTGGTTGACCTCTGAAAGCATAAAAATTCCTTTTAGTATCTCTGTTGAGTATTGTTTCCATCTGCATTTATTACAACATTGTACCTGCTTTGAGGTGTTAATGCTCGCCACAATGCCCCTCAGATGTAAATCCCAGTCATTCTGGTCCTCTCCACAGTACTTTGCAAGTGCTTTTTTTATGTTTTGGTTTGTACGCTCATCTTGGCCATTGCACTGGGGATGGTACGCTGAAGTGATGCAGTGTTTTACACCCAGTGCATCAAAAACACCACGGTTGACCTGCAGATGGTTTAGTGTACACCAATTACCAAATTACCTGAAAAATCGTATTACATTGTTACACATAACACATACACTGTATTAGATAGATTATTGTACCTCATTGACAAATTCCCGTCCTTGGTCGGTAATGATCTTCTCGACAAGACCGAAATCGAGAAGAATATTTACAATCTTTTTTGAGACCTCAACAGCTGTTTTGTGGTAGAGCGTTTTTGCTACCACCCACTTTGTGAACAGATCAGTCGCTGTTAGAATGTATCTGCAATATAAAATGCAGAATGTTGTAAATACATACAGAATCACTGTAAATGATTTCCTTTCTTTTGAAACCAGATTCTTCACGTTTAGAACCTTTAAAGGAGGTTACACATGCTTCAGCCCATCATGATAGTACCTTTTGCCCTTAGCAGTGGAGGGAAGTGGGCCAATGAGATCCACACCAAGGACAGTCCATGCCTCGGGAACATGAATGGGATGCAGTACGGGTGCAACCGTTTTAATGACCTCGTGTTGCTGGCAGCGGGGACACTCATCAACCTTAGCAAATATCATACATTTTCAATCAGCAAAACAAAAAACTTTAGGTATAAAAATGATAGAACAGAGAAAACTTTCAGAGGAGACAGAATTAAACTGTTAAAGTTCTGAAATATGTTTTCTCTGCTCTGATGGAGCTCAAACTGTCTCACTCTGTTTCAATGTACACATACAACACATTTCTGTAGATCAATAATCAGTCAGTCAGTCAAAATCTCCCACCCATTTCTTCACGTCCTCCCGCATAGTGGACCAGTGGTACGTTGCCAAAACCTTCTCGGTGGTGCGCCTTCTCCCTACATGACCTCCGGAACCCAGGTTATCATGGCACTCCTTCAGGACATTGATAATTTGGTCCTTGGTGCACACAACCATCCTCTCATTGTCCTTGTATGTGTAGTACAAATCTCCAGCTGGCACAACAGGAACAACAAAACAATCATTTAGACATGTGTAGAGATGACATTATGACTAAAAGCTGTTCAAGAAATCCAGTGGCAAATGTGGTTTAGACATAACAACTACAGTAATGTAAAGTGTGTATAAAAAGAAAAAGGAGAAACAAGCTGTGGAGTCCTTGCGATTTACTGAAAAATGTTGGAATTGCAATATGATAAACCATTAGAGGTATGATCACTTTTGCACCAAAAAAACACCATTAGATAAATAGATAGATAGATATATACTTTATTGATCCCTATAAGTAAAGGGATGTGATGATGTCACATGTACAGGGGGTTTATACCTCATAATAAAAACGTATGTTCGTGACTTAACCATGGTCTTATTCTGTTACTTACCTTTGATCAGGTATTGTTTGGATGCCCTCCGAATTAACGCCTTCCTTTTATCATGCTTTTCAGCGGCGATGGTGAGATTGTGGTAACCACCATTGAGCACGTACTGCTTTATCTCAGCATAAAAGCTCTCCATTTCTGTCATGAAAGTTAAAATGGTCGCGGTAATTATGGGGAAGCGGAGGGATCTAGATCGTTCACACATAACAAGCTGTACCGAGTTCCTCCGGCTGCAGTTCCGCAGACGGCCGGTGTGTGGCAGCATAGCGCTGGGAGCAGAGGGAGGTGAGTATATGACGGATATGACGGATGACGGATGCGACGGAAATACACCCGAACATATCTGGTAGGCCGAACATATCTGGTACTGACACCGGCAGCGTCTATCGTTATTCCAACCCAGTTTAGATTTTGCTTCCGCATTACGCAAGAACGTAGCTCTATGCGATAGCGTCATAGCCTTCTTCTTCGGCTGTTATTCTTCGGCTGTTATAGCGGTCGCGGTAAAGCAGGATGAATAGTTGTTTTTTGTCTTTCCAAAGGATTTGTTGACTGAAAGTAAACGATCCTGTTTGTTTGTTGACTGAAAGTAAACGATCCTGTAATCAAAGCCATATCGAAGATTCCTGAGATTGTATTACTGGTGTTTTATCATCTATAAATAGCCTGTGTGTATTCTCAAATGTCGTTTTCAGGACAAACAAAAGACGTTTTAAATATCTTATCTTATCAGCAGAATATTGAATATAACCTTGACTATTACTGTGCACTTCATTTATTTGACAGCATTATTTAATGATACTATTTTATATATACATTTATTCATATACACACACACTTATATGTACTCACACATGTATTTATTCATAAATATACACAGATGTATTCATTCATTTATACACACACAGCATTATTTAA